ACGTCTCCGTGGTGGGTGCTTTGAAAAGTGCCCGGCGCTGCATTGCATGCAGTTGTATCAGTGGTAAAATGCACATCAGTGCTGAGAAAATGTTGGTGAGGTTCAAAAGCGCGCCGCCACCATTTTCTGTGTGCTGACATGCATTTCACCATTTATACAGCTGCACATGGCACAGTGCAGTTCGCCTCAGGTCGCGTGCAGGGCAAACTTGATTAATCGAGTCTGCTCCAAAGCTGGGGATCTCCAGCACATTGTTGGAAAAAGGTATGTGTATAAATGCCCAAACACAATAGGTTCTCTCCCATTTATATTTTCCCCTTAAAAACATATAATAATGATCGTAGCCTATTAGTACACACCTTAGATATTTAAAAGTTTCTTCTTTACAATATATTTGCTGGAGGATACATGATAGAGGGAACTCATACGTTTCTTGCACCCCCGCTCCCAGGAAACTGTGGGATATAGTGCTGGACATGACGTTACCTTGGGTACATGACAGTCAGCCCCTAACCAGGCTCTGTTTCACAGGCCTAGGTGGCACTTTGTTTAAGTTCTTGGGTAAGATATGAACTTGTGGTAATTCGGTAACTACGGCAAATATTTCCACTGTTCTTTTCTTCCCAGTCTTGTTTGATGTTATTGGTGTTGACTTTTAATTTTAAAAACAAAATTAAGCTGTTGAGCTTATTGGGAAATATGTTAGTGTTATGGTGTCTAAGTGTCTGACTGACAGGGACTAGGAGCAACCACATCAGAAAGGTACTTTTCTACTTTTTTCCTTGCAGAGTTCTAGGCAGAGTCTGGCGCTGGAGTTGGCTGTCATGTCCAAGTCTGTCAACTTTTTTTGTTTGAAACAGCAAGGGTAAGATGAACTGCAGGGTAAGATGGGCTGTTTTGAATCAAATAGTCCAGTTATGATAACACTTCTTTTTATCTTTTTTTTTTTCTTTAATTTCCTTTTTGGTATTGATGTTGAAATTTTGGCATAACCTCAATTATTCTGGAAATGTGTTACCTCACTGGACAATTCCTTATTTAATATAATAAAGACATCATAGTTTATTGGGAATAAAATAGTCCATCTTGCCTTCATTCCATTTTACCCAAGTAGTTAAAAAAATAATTGACTAAAAATAACTAAATACAACTGGTACAATGATATATAGATACTCAAAATTGTTTTTTAAATATATCATTTTTGCATAATCTTTTTCAAAGATTTTATATATATCCTTTGTGACAAAACTTGGAATTATTTACTTTAAAATGATTAAGCAATTTCTTTCTATTAAATTATAATGCTATGGAAAAAAAATCCATATAGGCTTTTTTATGATGATATTTTTGATGTAAATTAAGTTGAATTTCCTTGTTTTCAATAATTAAACACCAGAGAAGGTCATGTGCTACAATTTGTCTCATTAGACATTAAATTAGTGTTAATAATTATGCAAATTGCTACATAATGTCTATAGCCCCTTTGTTTTTGTGCCATGAGCAGGCAACTCCAGCAATGCATTATAATCTATCTTTATCTAGTTTACACATAACAGCCTAATATTGTTATTGCTGCTCTATCAAATTCAATGGGTGGCACAACCACCCATGTTTATCTGAAACTGTGGGGCTAATTATAGAGATGGGAGATGCTTTTTTTTTTTACTGTGAAATTGCTAAATGACCCTTTATAACAATAGACATGGCAGAAGTCAAGGATCCTTTTGTATGCTGGGGTATGAAATGCTTTTCTTTGTATTTGCTTCTTTCAGTGAGAGCTTATTTTTCTTTGACCAAAAAAAAGTATTTTTTATGAACTCCTTAATGAATCTTTGCTAAGTGCTGTGAAGATAAAGCACTGTATAAAGACTGAAGTGTTAATATTAATTTAGAGGCTTAACACAGCTGTGAGCATTTACTATAAGCCTTTTTCTGAGAGAAAAAAAAAGTAGGTTTAAGCAACAGCTTTTTTTCCTCACTTTCTTCTATCACAACACAATTAGGAAAAAAAGATAAAAATAGATTATATCATTATCTGTACTTGGAGTCTCCCATTACTATACTTTGATTCCCACTACCCCAAAAACTCTGTCTTTGTAAGTGTAATCAGTTTATGTGTGCCATTTGAGTTGTGTGTGTTTGGTACAAGCAATATGTAAACCTGTAGCTTAAAGCTTTTTTTGCACAGTGATTTTCATTCTACCACTGTGACAAAAAGTGTTGAACTCTTGTTAATTGTTTTCTGTGCACTGGTTTCACCTTTCTCCCCTAATTTCTGTTAGGTTCTGAGCTCATGCCCAAAGCCCTTTCCACCAGGATAGTGGGAGGCATTTGGTGGTTTTTCACACTTATCATCATTTCCTCGTACACTGCTAACCTAGCCGCCTTTCTGACAGTGGAGCGCATGGAATCCCCTATCGATTCTGCTGATGATTTAGCCAAGCAGACTAAAATAGAGTATGGAGCAGTTGAAGATGGAGCAACAATGACATTTTTCAAGGTAAGCTCTTATTTTCTAATTGAAAGAGAATTTTAGCATGAATAGGAATTAACCCCCTTGAGTAGTTGTTGAGTATGTGATCTAATTCCAGTGTGGCTTTTGGAAAAAGCAAGAGAAACAATGCGTATAAAATTTCTCATAGCAAATAAAACTTCACTAATCATTTTCAACCAGAGAGCTGAATGGACTCTAATGTCATATATTGAGAAACCTGAATTCCCTGTTCAAGCAAATTTCCCATCACTGAGTGTGAGAGTGAATTTTCCCTATAAGTCAGTGTATGACTTATAGGGTTAGAACAATGATGTTACACTTAATTAAGAGTCTCTGTTCCTCTCCTTATATATCACCTCTTTGGGCACTGGAACAGCTGGGCTGAGCATACCTTGTGGACTGTTCATTTTTGAGAATGTCTGTTTGAATTGTATTTTAAGTTAATAAAAAGCAGCTAAGACTCATTAAATCTCTTCCCTATTTTCACCTAGTGAGTAGGGCAATTCAGTTTACAACAAAATGTTTCTTTTTAAATGAAATAAAGCATATGCTACATTATTTATTAGAGAGAGAAGAAAACACTGTTTCTATAGTTCCTTCAAATACCTAGGTTGGCACAAATTAATATAAAGTGTGTACTCTTGGTCAAAAGTCAGTCTGGCCCCTAGGTTTTGATAAAGGATCCTACCATCCCCCTAGTGTGGGGTTGTAGTCAAGGCCTGGCTGGAATGTACCATACTGCAGAGTCCTAATTTCCCTGCAGAAACTGTTGCAAGCTAGTCCTTAGGTTTCTTTTACAGTAAGACCCAAATAGGCTTGAGCTGCCCCAGAGACAGTGGAACACAAGGATGAATTAAAGCCATCCTTGCACTTCTCTCTCCATATGCTCAGATCATAAAATTCACCACTTGTTCATCTGCAAGAACAAAGTAATCATTATCTAATATAATGATAGCAGTGGTGTTACCAATGTATGTGGCATGTTTAAGTTTTGGAATACTCTTTAATAATCACCTTCTGCTTAGGAAAAATAAATTAAAAGAAAACAAAATAATATAATATAAAATAAAATAATCTTTAGTAACTGAGGACTTTGCAAGGCCCTTATCTTAGTATATTAGGAAGGTTCAGGATGTTTCCTTCAAAATATCTCTTTGAAAAAGTGCTGAAGAAATTGATGGAAGTAACTAATCAACAGGGATCCTGGTTTTCTCTGTTTTAAAATGGCAATTTCTATGAGAAAAATTTGCAACTTCTCTTTTTAAAACCCCCCAAATCCACATTTTTCCATGATTAAAATGAAATACTACTGTATATGTAGGTATCAGTTGAACAGAATGTTTTATTGATATATTTACAATTTTAAAGCCATTTGGAAGCCTACCAGTGCCTCAATCATTATAATAAAATACATTCTAAATACCTATATATTTTGGTGTTTGATTTTGGGCTTTTTATTACGGAAATTCAGAGTGCCCCCTTCTCTCACCAGGATTTAGGTCCAGCTGTGGCTGTGTCCCCCTCCTCCCCACCCCCCGGCCTGCTTTGTGGCACTGAGCAGCCATGATATCCTGGTGCCCTGCCATGCCATTGCTCCTCACTCCTATCCTCCAGCCCCGCAGCCCTGATGGTGCTTGTCACTCCTCAGCCACAGCCCCCTGGCCCTGGTGATGCTCCTCAGTCTCCATCCACAGCACCCCCCACCTCCTGCTGGTGCCCCTCACTCCCCACCCACAGCCCCCTTCCCTCCAGCTGTACCAGAGGGGGCCCCAAGCTGTCAGGGCGACAGGGCCTGAGACCTGGGTCCACAGACCTCTACTACCTGCAGTAGTGCCCAAGCCCCAACTGCTGCTTGTGGGAGGCAGCAGCTGCTGTGATGGAGCAGAGTGGAGCCCAGCTCCCCGCCACCCAGAGGCAACACAATCAGATTAAAACCCATGTGGGGGGCGGGTATGAACTGCCCACTGTGGGCTTGGGCAGGGGGGGTGGCACTCCACTGTTTTGCACACTGCTAGGGTGGGGAATGGGGGGCACATGCCTCCCAGATTTGTGCACAGGGTGGGTGCAGACTTTGGGCTTGGGGTTCCTCACCCTGCTGCCCTCCTCCCAGGGCCTCCATGGCCCAGTGGGTGGGACCTGACACAGCAGGGCAGAGCATGGCTCAGCACCACTACTGCAAGCTCTGCACCACCATGGCGAGCTGCTCTCCATGCTGCTGCCCTTGCTGCTCCCGAGCGGGCAGGGGGCACCTTGCTATGGCAGCACAGGGCCCACAGGAATGGCATCAAGTTTTCCTGCCTGGCCCTGTTCTGCACTGCCATGCCGGATCCCACCTGCCAGGCCATGGAGGCCCCAGGGGAAAGACAGCAGGGAAGGGGGCCCAAGCCCACAGCAGGCAGCCCTACTCCTGCTCAGAAATCTGGGGGGCACGTGCCCCCCATGTGCCACCCAGGAGTGTGCACAGTGGTGGGGATCCAGCCCTGCCTCCCCCCCCACCCCGATGAGCTGCCTGTAGTTCCATCCCACTCCCCACCCGGGTTCTATAGCTGTGCATGGCCTGAGGCCCCAAACCCATGCATCACCTGGGCTGGGCAGCAGACCCAACCCTGCACAACTCCCTCCCTCACTATGGGGGCCTCAATCCCCGCTCCACTGCCCTCCCCCCCGCCCCCAGCAGACTTACCTGAGGGAGCTGCTTTCATGAGCACAGGCACATGTCACCCCCTGCCTAAATGCCCTCCTCCCACTCCCCCCAGCCCCTTGCAGGCTGGAACACTGCCAGCCTGCAAGGCGAAACACACCATTTCCCACATTTTTCTTTTTTAAAGGAAAAAATCCAGGTTTTTCTCCTTAAAATGAGAAGATCCATATTTTTCTCCTTAAAGTGGGGAAATCCATGTTTTACTGCAGTGAACATAAAACCCGGATCCCTACTAATCAATTACAGCAAACTCGATGACAAGAAATATGTGACAAAATTCAGCGGGAAAAAATATCTACAGAAAAGTTTAAAGAGTTAGACTTTTAAAAGAACAAAAATGATTAAAATCAAAGGACATAAAGAGATGCCACAAAGTATTTATTGAGTTACAAGGAAACACTACAGGGATTTAATTTCATTTTTGTCTGGCAGAAGACTTTGATCTTGTACTCTTTCAGATTGGAAGGCTAAACTCTAAAATATTAGGAGGAATTTTTTACTTTCTGTCCAGTTGCCAGCAGCACTTTTCTCTGTCTGTCCTTAACTTTTTTCTTTATTTCTTGTTTTAGTTCTTTCTATTGCTCTTTCTTTTTCCTTTTCACTCCAGGCTCTGTTCCTCTCTCTCTCCTTGATTTGTCTCTCTCTATGTCTTCCCTACATATTTCCCCAAATATATATTACTCTGATTACCTCTCTTTTATAAACACTTCCCATTCCATGCCTGTCCCCCACCTTTCTATGCATTGTTCTTTTCTATGCATCTCCTATTTGTTTCTATTTTTTCTGTACTCTCCTTTATTTCTTTGGTCTGCATTACCTCAAAAGCTAGAAGAACATTGGCAAACACTAAAGCATTGGCTGTATTTCCTGCATGTGAATGCTTCAAAATGTATTTATTAAACTGGTACACAACAGAAACAGAACATCAGATCAGATCACACAATTCTGTATTGCTTTAGTACATTTTGGAAGCTTCCATTTCCATAATGATATAAAGGGAAGTCAGTACAAAGTGTACATTCAGTTGGTTAACTTAAGGACATAGTCTGCCTTTTGTTGTAGTGATTGCCAGTTTATTGGAGCTAGTGTGTTTTAGCTCCTTGTTATAATTTAGTGCCATAGAAGTTTGAAATGTACTAGAATAATGATTCTTGTACATTATTTCCCTCACTTTGGCAAGAGTAAAGAAGTTACAAAGGAGTATATACACTCAAGCAATAACTCTGATGCTCACGATCAGCAGTCAGCTTCTTCCTAATTTTTTGTAATCATGGGTTTTTGGTTTAAATAGGTATGAAATGAGATAGTAGCATTTTACACCTGGTGCAAGGGAAGGCATAAAAGCAGTTTAGGGATTCATACAGTAGGTTACTAGAAACTAGGGGTGCCTATAATGTGTTCCGATGTGTTCTGATTAGAACATGGTGGAGCAGGCTCCATTAATTGAGTCTGCTGGAACATCCTAATTAGAACACTCCAGCGTGCTGCAGCATCTTGTGTATTAGTTGTTCTACATTTTAAAATGGTGGCAGAGGTACTTTAACTAAAGCTCATTGAACAAGCCTTAGTTAACCCCCCTCCCTCCCTCCCCCCCCCCCCCCCCCCCCCCCATTTTGAAATGCAGGACACTGAATATACGCTCCTCAGAGCCATTCTAATTCAAATGTCCTCTGCCCTCCCCCCACTTGCATAGGTACCCTAGAAGGCCTAGAAAGTCTGAAAGAGCATGGAGCATAGTATATCTTTATGCAGCAATGGTACTACACTCTGGCAAGGTACAGACATTATGCTTTTCCTGGAATAAGTGATCAGAAACTGGTCTATACCCATAACAGAACACAAGTTCAGCACACACAGATTGGTTTAAAGATGGCAGAATCCAATCTAAGATTTACCCCTTCCAGCACAGGGTGAATGTGTTGTGTTTACTACTGATCTAAACTAAGCTGCTTGCAGAAAACCATGTAACTTAAATAGGTTCCACCCCAGGCTTGTTGTATTGCTACATCTGTACAATCTGTACAATACCTCTGTATTGTTACATTATAGCATTACAGAAAGAATAATGGTCAGAAGGAAGGCATGAATATAAGATGTCACAAACTATTAGGGCTGTCAATTAATTGTGATTAACACCCGCGATTTCACCGTTAATTTGATTTTGCTTTAATTTTTTTAATGCACGTTAATGGCTGCTGGTGATAGCGGAAAAGCAGCCCCTCTCCCCTCGCTGCTGCATGCTATATATATTTAAAATATAGTTTACAGTTTTTGTAAAGCTATATAGATACAGATGTATTTACAA